CTTATAAGATATCTTCAAATCTTCCTATTTCAATCTTGACTTTTCAATCTTTATCAATTGTTATTCTTCATCTAGTGATTGTTTCACTGCCTTATCTATTATTATTTTAAATCAACCAATTTACCTGTCAAATAAACCAAATAACTAGAAAAAATATTAAACTAAAAAATCAAGGAATTTAACACATTTAATAACAAATAATATGCAATTAACCAATCATTAAATATCATCATTCAGAGGTCAAAGATATCACATACAAGAGTTTGGGGTGGGTGCAGCAGCTCCCCGTAATCCTGAAGAATTGTTCAACCTTTGACATTCAGCCTCAAGGACATGCATTGAGAGATGTTTTGCCTTGTTGAAAAATAGATGGGCGATCCTTAGGGCACAGTGCTACTATCCGGTTCGCACGCATAATCATATTCTAGCTGCATGTTGTTTGTTGCATAACTTAATCAGAAATGAAATGAGTATGAACTCAATATAGGAAGAGTTGCACGAGGTCATTCATGATGAGAGTGATGCTGACAATGATGTCATAAACACTGTGGAGACATCGGCTGAATGATAATTATTTCAAAATTAATTAGCGTTTGAAATGTACAACGAGTGTAAAATGTCTCGTGGACAACCTACTATTTAAATGTGTTTGATTTTGTGATTCTGCATGTACTGTGGGATATTGGTTTGATTGTAGTATGACAAGTTTTCCATGATTTAAACTTAGATTACTTTCCATGTGTTTAATAGTTTATACGATGATATTTTGTTTGCAAGTACACAACATTGCTCAAATTATTGTGCTTACCATTATGTTTGTGATGCATAGTATGTCTGAGCCCAAGTGAAAGGACCCAGACAGAGAAGGGTCAGAGAAGGGTATAAGAAGGACATGGATAAACATAGAAGAAACTCAGCTCATCACATCCCTAAGAGACTTTTGTGTTAATGGTTGGAAGTGTCAAAACAGAACTTTCAAACCAGGGTACCTTCAAGCATCGAAACAGAGTTTGCAAATTGCAATTCCTAAGTGTAAATTTTAGGCTTCCCCACACATTGAGTCTAAGATAAAGATTTGGAAAAAAAAAACTATAACTCGTTATTCACCATGATGGCCACTTCTGGATTTGGTTTTAATTCTACCGAGAATAAGATTATTATTGATGGTGATGACATCTAGAAAGACTACTTGAAAGTGAAGTAATACATATAATTTATTGTATTTGGAAAACAAATTCACTAAATCAAAAAATATTTTTTGCGACGATTTTAAACTTGTCACAAAAAGTTTACTATTTGTGACGATTTTATAATTTTGTCACAAATTTCTATTTTGGCAATTTTTTTGCGACGTTTTTATAAAAACGTTGCGAAAAGGCAATTCTATCCTAATTGTTTTTTCCGGGAGAAATGACGGGAAGTGACAATTTTTTACGACAAAAATTTTTTGTTGCAGATAGTTTTATGTCGTCACAAAAAATAAATAATCTAAAATTTAAAGTAAAATAAAGTCTAAATTTCTATTTTGATAGTTTTTTGCAACGTTTTTTTAAAAACGTCGCAAAAAGGCGATTCTCTCCTAATTGTTTTTTACGGGAGAAATGACGGGAATTGACAAATTAAATAAATAATAATAATTTAGTTAATTTTTCACAACGTTTTTTTAAAAACGTAGCAAATAAATTTTTATGCAAATAAAAAATTTTAAAAATAATAATTAAATTAATTATTCATGACATTTTTAGAAAACATTGCCAATAATATTTTACGTAAATAAATTTTTTTTAAAATAATGATTAAATTATTTTTCACAATGTTTTTAAAAAAAATCTCCTATAAATTTTTGCGTAAATAAAAAAATTAAAAATAATAATTAAATTAATTTTTCGCGACATTTTTAGAAATGTCGCCAATAATTTTTTACGTAAATAAAAAATTTTAAAAATAATAATTAAATAATTTTTCGCGACATTTTTAAAAAATGTCACCAATAAAGTTTTATGTAAATAAAAAATTTTAAAAATAATAATTAAATTAATTTTTTGCGACATTGTTAGAAAACGTCACCAATAATTTTTTATGTAAATTAAAAAAA